CGTAGCCGCAGATACTTCCTGTTAAGTAAGGAGTTAACGTCGAATTCGATATCACTGACACACGATAGATGACTACAGGCAGTGCTTTGATGGTTGTCTCATGGATCCCGGCGTCTTAATATTTACAAACTTCATTTTCGTTGAATATTTGGGCTTCACTTTATTCTTCTTAACTTCATATTGCTGGTAATATCATCGTCTTATGTTTTGTTTCGTCCAGCGATGCTTATCTTCCCATTTCATTTAGCTGTGAAACTCGCTTGTTAGTTCAGTGATTGCATAGTTTGAACGATGTTTTCAATTTGACTCGGAACAGCGAACTTTAATATTTCGAAGGCTCAGAGTAGCAAATCATTACGTATGTTTTATTTCAATAGGAATACTGCCTTTTTTGACTCTACGAAACAAAGCAATTTTAATGCATTACATGAGTTTATGTACATACAAGTTCAGAATCCATCCAGTCTCGCATTGCATTACCGGAAGCAATAAATTGTCCGTGTATGAAGTCGTTCGTCAGTTCGACAACATCCGTTTGACACTAAAACAGCTTCGGCACCAAACCACTCATGCAGTAGGTTTAAACTGTATGCAGATATTTATATATGCGCATGTATTTGTGATATTTGTATATCAAATGGTGTGTATATATCGGTGTGTATATATCTCAGGCGACTTCCGGGATCAGCAGTGTAAAAATTATAGACTGATGGCTGCCCCGGCGACAGTATGCTATTACACGTTGTACGACAACTTCAACCACTTTCTGAAAGAACAGATCGGCCCTCGAATATGGACCCCGTTCGTCGCAGGAAGTAGTGCAAGAAGTATGGTTCACAGTTGTTGCTACCTTTTAGTACTTGCCCTAATCGTTGTTGTTTAGTCGTTTCCGTAACTCTCATCAGCCCATTGGAAATGATCCGCACAAACTTACAGTCAAGCAAATCCTATTCAGGTAGCGGATTCTCAATTTCTGAATTTTGCATGCAGTGCCGCATGGTGTCGCAACTTAAGCAGTACTTCAGTTTGCTAGAGTATTTGTATTTGATGAGGGAATAGAAAAAGTGCCCTTCTTGAAAATCAAACAAAAACACCATACCATTTTCTTGGATTGTCTACCCTTTGCTCAAAGGATGGTGAATCGTGAACTATAGACTTGGAAGGCGGACCCTACAAGATTAATATGTTATTAATTTGATAATGCCATTTTCGGCTTCACAGTTTTAAGTCACTGGTAGAAGACCGACACAGGAATGGAACATCTGTTGGAATAGCACGAGTATACAACGCGCGAAGACCGTTTAGAGATAAAACACAGATTCCGAACCTTTAGGAAAATAGATGGGAATGAATTCTTCACCTGGATGTGTAGGCCATCGTTCAGGTTGTTATGGAATGAATATTTGCTACATCAAACTACCATATTTGCTGTTCTGCATACACCGGATATATTAGTGTATAATGTCGCTACAGACCTTGATATCTGCCGCTTGTTAAAGACGAATTCTGCTCTAGTGTTTCAAATGCTTCAGATTCGATCTCGCTGATTTTTTTCATCGTATCAGTTGGTTATATTTTACGTATGCATGCTTTATTTTAAGACATAGTTCGTGAGCTACGGCATTTGATCAGGCGTGAAGGCTTCAAGTCGCTGTGGCTTGGATTGGGTCCTTCTTTACTGCGCGATGTCCCATTTTCAGGTATGTTTAAGCTTTTCTCTGTTTATCGCGTTGCCATCTACGGAGCTGTTTTAGCCTTATACTGGATGAACTTTGAACTGCTCAAGCAAAAGGCACTTACCGTGTTGAATAGAAAAGAAACGAATTTTTTCATCAGTTTCGTCAGCGGAGCAGTGTGCGGTTCGGTAAAAATGACCGATATTTTAAAGCC